TCATTTTTGTCACAAGTGTAGTCAACTGCAAGTGTCTGTTTGCAAAAAATAAACTTCAGTGTATTCAAACTTCTATTAATCAAAGCCAGCAGCACTTACAGTGATTCTGACTGCCAGGGAAAAGCCCTTAGAGTGTAGTCTTTTAAAAAGACAGGACTGTGCACGCACTCCAAATAGTTCAAGAACAGCTTTTCATTTATTTTGGAATCTTAAGAGGTTCAAAGTAATATCTGCCTTCTAAAGATCTGAATTTTTTGTTTTTGTTTTTTAATCAATGCTGGCTTCAGAGAATAGTATCTTTTTTACACTGATTAAATGTTCTGATCAAAGATAAATAGTTTTGTCAGTCCATTTGGTTATTGGACTTGTTGTTCCTGGTTTGTCTCAGTGTTCAACTTGTTTTTCAGCTTCAACATGTCAACATGTCAGAATAAGCTTTAATCTACTTTTCAGCTTCATTCTTGATCACATCCTTCTGGTTTTAATAAATCCTAGCACCTGCTCCCACCTGCAGGAAAGTTCAAACTGCCCTCTCCTGTTCCTGCTCCTGACCAGAGTACAAAAAATTTGATCAGGACGTCCCTAATAAGAAGACATTTCTCCGTCTTGGTTTTAATATTAGGTTGCAGTGGCATCTAAATCCCTGTCTAATGACCTGTGGTTGTGTTTTTTTCTTTATCAAAGTCCTTTTCTTATAGAGCTGCATTGTATGTTAACAGAACAAAGCCAAAATGCAGCTCTGTGATTTTTTTTTTCTGTGATTTGCTTTGCAGCCATAGACACCACGTTCTTCACGACCAGAACGTCGACAAGAGGATCTGCATCCCGATGAACTACATCTCCCCTGATCAGGCTCCATACACTGTCTGCAACAGCTCTCTGTCTGAGTATGGAGTGTTGGGTGAGCAGCAGAAACACAACAAACTAAAATCCTCAATATTTGAACCATCTGAAGCAGCTCAGGGGACAAACTGTCTGTACCTGGTTGCCTCAGATATTCAGTTGACAGAAATGAATGTTTGCATCATATCAGTGTTGAAACTGAAAAGCCAACACTCACACATTACATGTTCACGGAGCGAGAGTGGTGCTCGTCACGAAACCCGTTTGGTTTTAAACATGTTCGTCTCTTCTGTGCAGGTTTTGAACTAGGGTTTGCCATGGCCAGCCCCAACGCTCTGGTCCTGTGGGAGGCCCAGTTTGGAGACTTTCACAACACAGCTCAGTGCATTATCGACCAGTTCATCAGCTCAGGACAGGCCAAGTGGGTCAGACAGAACGGCATCGTGCTGCTGCTTCCTCATGGCTTAGAGGGAATGGTAGGACCAGAGAAACCTGATCTGTCACATTCTGCTTTTATCTCATGATACTGTCATCCAATTTACCAAGTTTACACATCGTCATGTTGTTCACAGTCTGTAGACAGAAACAGACCAACAGAACTTCATAGTGAAACTGAAAAAAAGAAAAGAAAAAAAAAAACATTTCCTTTTCACTCCCACACAGCCTGTTGTTGGCATCAATGCCCTAACACACTTGAACTTGTTCTATGGCACTTATCCAGGTTGTTTTCTCCTGTCTAGATTCTTTCTTGTTTTGTTTCTACTTTCAGATGTACATCACTTTGGATAAAAGCATCTGCAAATAAAATTGTAGAATTGTACAACAAACTGACAGAGCAAGAATTGAACACTATCAGGGGAGAAATTAGAAGACTCTCACACAAGCAGTGAATTTTACAGACTTGTTTGGTTAGTTTGATTTGTTCAAACTATTAAGGACCTGTAACTCTGAACTGGTGTTGACCAGCTACCTATTCCACATGGTGACACATGGCACACTCACTTGTAATAATGAGGTTGGAGCATATTTTCATCAGTATAAGCAACCATAGAACTTAAAAACTTCAAATTTCACGTATTTGTAGCATAGAAGTTGCTCATATTTTTAGCAGTAACCCTGCATTTGTATAATGTCACTTTATCTGCAAAAAAGCTATAACAATGCACCTCTGATTGCTTTCACTTGTTTCTTTCTCTCAGGGTCCTGAACACTCGTCTGCCCGACCTGAAAGGTTCCTGCAGATGTGCAATGATGACCCAGATGTTTTCCCTGTGAGTTTGTGTATAAGGATGTAAACAATTACATTAAAAACACATTTTAAAAATGTTATATTATTGAGAGCATTATATATGAATACATATAAACTTCCAACTGTGGTAATTTGCTGTCTGAACTTCCAGTTGAACTGTTAATAGATAGACAGTTTAGACTTTTTTTCTATTAAATAGTTTTTAATCTATGTAATTTATGTATACAGGCAAAACATACATACAATCTACAGCAATCAATTAAATGTTTGCTAATGTGTCTTGTATGCAGAATTACTGACTTTTCCACTCCACTTTTTGGTCAGAAATTGTCAGAAGACTTCGCAGTGCGTCAGCTTTACGACTGTAACTGGATCGTTGTTAACTGCTCGACTCCTGCAAACTACTTCCATGTTATCCGCAGGCAGATCCTGCAGCCCTTCAGGAAGCCTGTAAGTCTTGCACAGCCTGAACATGCAGCAAAATACAGTTCAAGTCCCTCACTGTGTCCTGCGCTCTGTTTTTCTCTCTTTACCTGCAGCTAATTGTGTTTACTCCAAAGTCGCTGCTGCGCCACCCAGAGGCCAAGTCTAGCTTCGATGAAATGCTGCCGGGTGAGCACTGACAGAAAGAAGAGCAGGAAATAAAGGATAAAAAACAGAAAGTGGAGATTCAGTTTGTTATTGTTAAACTTTGCGTCCTGCAGGCACCCACTTCAGCCGTATAATCCCAGACGACGGTCCGGCAGCTGTCAGCCCAGAAAAAGTAAAGAGAGTCATTTTCTGCACTGGCAAGATTTTCTATGAACTGACCCGAGAACGCAAGAACAGAGGCATGGATGACACCATCGCTGTTGTTCGCGTTGAGCAGGTAATGAGAGAGGAAAAATTTATCTGAAACAAGTATAAAGAAATTGAGAGTGTGGATAATCTCAATCTTCACACTGAACTTGACACACATGAACCTGGAACTGAAGGTTCCTGCTAAGTCTGTTACTGTCAAATCTTCAAGTCCATTAGGCCTCCCACAAAATCACGTAATCAGTCAATCAATCAAATAATCAGTTATTTACTGCACACTTGCAGAGTTGTTTGTATTATTAGTCAAACATAGGATTTACAGTGGATCAGGGCTTTCTTGACTTTTGGTAGTTTGCTAAAATATGTAAATACGCCCAACCAGTCCACATGTGTTTTGTGAATCTGGAGAAGGCGTTCGACCGTGTTCCTCGTGGCGTCCTGTGGGGGGTGCTTCTGGAGTATGGGGTCCGGGGCCCTTTGTTAAGGGCTGTCCGTTCCCTTTATGACCGCAGCAGGAGCATGGTTCACATTGCCGGTAGTAAGTCAGACCTGTTCCCAGTGCATGTTGGCCTCCGCCAGGGCTGCCCTTTGTCACCAGTTCTGTTCATTATTTTTATGGACAGAATTTCTCAGCGCAGCCAGGGGGCAGAAGGGGTTCGGTTTGGGAACCACAGAATCTCATCTCTGCTGTTTGCGGATGAAGTTGTTCTGTTGGCTTCATCAAATCAGGACCTCCAGTGTGCACTGGGGTGGTTTGCAGCCGAGTGTGGGGCAAGCGGGATGAGGATCAGCACCTCCAAATCCGAGGCCATGGTTCTCAACCGGAAAAAGGTGGCTTGCCCTCTCCGGGTCGGTGGAGACTCCTTGCCTCAAGTAGAGGAGTTCAAGTATCTCGGGGTCTTGTTCACAAGTGAGGGGCAGATGGAGCGTGAGGTTGACAGACGGATCGGTGCAGCATCTGCAGTGTTGCGGTCGCTGTACAGGACCATCGTGGTGAAGAGAGAGCTGAGCAAGGCAGCAAAGCTCTCGATTTACCGGTCAATCTACGTCCCAACCCTCACCTATGGTCATGAGATCTGGTAATGACCGAAAGAACGAGACTGCAGATACAAGCGGCTGAAATGAGTTTCCTCTGCAGGGTGACTGGGCGCTCCCTTAGAGATAGGGTGAGGAGCTCGGTCACGCGGGAGGAGCTCAGAGTAGAGCCGCTGCTCCTCCACGTTGAAAGGAGCCAGTTGAGGTGGCTCGGGCATCTTTTCCGGATGCCTCCTGGGCGCCTCCCTGGGGAGGTGTTCTGGGCACGTCCCACCGGGAGGAGGCCCTGAGGAAGACCCAGGACATGCTGGAGGGACTATGTCTCTCGACTGGCCTGGGAACGCCAACGGTTCCCTTCGGACGAGCTGGAGGAGGTGTGCGCGGATCAGGAAGTCTAGGTGGCTTTGCTAAGGCTGCTGCCTCCACAATCCGACTCTGGATAAAGTGGAAGAAAATGGATGGATGGATGGCTCTAAATACAGTAATTTCACAGAGGGGGACAGCAGCAACTATCCAAAACGTACCTGAGGTTCTATTTCTTTTGAAAGGAGATGTGTTTTTTTCCCAGCAACATGTGCTATCACAGTGGTGTATCCCATTTATCAACAATATCCTTTTTTTCTTTTTTTTCCTTTTTTTAAAAATTAACCAGTTCATCTGACATGTAAAATACTTACTCATTTTACACTGTCAAAGACTGAAGGTGTTCCTTTAGCCCCTGTGCTCTTTGTGCACGTCTTGCATATTTTTCTTATAATAATCTACCTTTGCAGAAGTTGCGTTCGTTCTCAATAACCATTTATTGTTTGTTAATCTGAGGTGTGTCTGTACTGTCTGGTGTGTAGGACTGCCACTAAAGAATATTTTTGTTGTTGAGTAATCTGTCAACTATTCTAACTTTAGTCTTTTAATGATTCATCTAAACAACAAATTTTTCTCCCAAAAAAGCAGTCATAAAATCATTCATTTAGCAGTGCCTAGTAGCAGCTTTAAAGAGACTGCTGGCTAACATGTTGTCTTAATGGCCAACCTTTCAGTCACTATGTTATACTTGGTTGGTTGTCTGACAACAGAAATAGAAAAATATGTAAATGAGAACAGCTTTTTAAGGAATTCAGCTGTTTTTAAACACAGTGTATGTGAGCACAGAGGTCAGGAGAGAAGCTAACAGATGTAATGTTTTCTCTTCAGGTGTTCATGCCGCTGTAGTTTGCTATCTAAACTCTGCAGTGTACAAACCACCTTTTTTTCCTGTTGTCATTTAAAGTATATCCAGACTTTGCAAGTTTTGGGACATTGCAAACTTCTACATTTAACCAAGTCGGACTTTGATTTTGCTGCTGTTGCCCAAAAACTGTAATGCAGACTGCAGCAGACTAATGACTGGAGTCAAAAATGGTTGATGTCATGAAGCAACAATTGTGCAGTGCTACTGACAAAAAAACGTTTGTTGTAATGAATTGAGGTAAATAAAAACCAAGACAAAAGAAACAGAAACCTATGTGAAGGAGAGCAGCTGAATCGGGAATTCAACTGTATTAAAATGCAGTGTGTGTGTGAGCACAGAGAGCAGGGGAGAAGTAAACAGATGTAAACAGGAGCTGAATTTTGGTTGCACTGAAGCACAACAAACCACATGAAAACACTTTAACCCCCCAGTCCTTGTTTATTGCCTTCAAATTAACGTTTCCACCGTCTTTGAATCTTCTTCTGTCTTATAGTTTCCACACAGCTCTCACCAGGATTTCGGCTCTGTGTCAAAGACTTGAAATAATGAAACTACAGAAAATGAGGATACTAGCAGAAAAAGAAAATCCGTTGCATTTTCTTCTGACCCAACAGTGGTACCAGTGGCTGCATTTTCTGTATCCCTGAAGCTGTTGTTGCTGTCTTATTGTTTTGTGATCAAACCTTGCAGTCAGTGACTTGTTGGATTTTAGACTCTTCATTTGATTTTCTCTTTTTCCAGCTGTCACCGTTTCCCTTCGATCTGGTGAAAGAAGAGACTGACCGCTATGTGAATGCTGATCTGGTCTGGTGTCAGGAAGAGCACAAGAACCAGGGTTACTACGACTACGTCAAGCCCCGCATCCGTACCACCATCGGCCGATCACGCCCAGTCTGGTAAGTTTTACTTCAGCCAGCTTTATACTGACGCAAGCTCCTTGTCAGCTGGAAAGATGCTCTTGGACACCCTGCTAAACTTTATCAGTGTTTAACACTTCATGCAGCATCTAGCCAGCTGGGCAGAGTAAACCTGGGTTGGCACACTGTACAACTAATAATCTTTATTTTTAGGGTGCCTTTCGTAATCCAAGTCACAATATGCTTCCATTTTTTTACAGTCTATGATTACAAGTTGTTACACAAAAATCTACGAGCAGAAGCAGAAACCTAAGAGCAGAAGTTTCACAAGCAGACAGAGGCAACTTGAGAGCAAGGAGGAGGTGTTAATCTGAAGCACTGATGATGTGTGCAAGCAGCAGCATATCAGAGTGGAAACGTACATCAGAGCACATCAGTTCAGGAGCAGGAACTCTTTGAGTATGAGGGCAGAGTTATGAGATAGAAAGTTACAGTATCTGAACATAAAAACAAGAAATCATGCTCTCAAATTGAAGGACCATGCTCTTGAATATAGATTGGAATATACCCCCATTATCTTCCTTTTCTAAATCAATTTTGACAAACTATATGTTGCAAAGCCTCACAATTGAAGCAGTATAAACCACTTTAAGATACCAACACCACAGCTGCAAGAGTTCCTTACGTTGCAGTAAGAGTGTAGCAGAACTGTGAAGGTTATTGGATCAATGTGTGCTGCAAATGAATAACTTCAAGACTTCCCCTGTTCTTTGTTACTTTTATACCACAAATAAGACTTCAGCAAGTCACTCTGTAAGTGCGTCTAAGTTCATTTTGTCTATGTGTGTTTGCAGGTATGCTGGACGTGAGCCTGCAGCAGCTCCAGCCACTGGAAACAAACAAACTCACCTCATGGAGCTGCAACGTTTACTGGATACAGCATTCGATCTGGAGGCTTTCTCAGGGAAACAATAACAGCTCATCTTCGTCTCCCTCCACACAGAGCTTCAGGAGCCCGACACTTTCTCCTCAATATATTTACATATCAGACCTGTGAACAGGCGTAATCTCACGACAGAACGCACAAGACTTTAACCCGATTCAGGACTTTTGGGGTCTTTTGCGCCCCAGGCCATTTGGTTTAGGTGACAGGTATTGTTTTCTTATTTTTGAAGATTTTTTTTTAAATATAAAAAGAGGGACATTTGTCATGCATTTGGAACCTAAAATACGTTACCTTATCAGAAAATTTATTTAACACAGTATGAAAGTCTATAATGAATACCAACAAATATTTTGCACATATTCTTTCTAGGGGTCCAATGGACCCCAAAAGACCTTCTACGTATAGCTTCATGAAAGTCCTGAATAGGGTTAAACACTGTTACCATGAAGACCTCAGTGTTCACAGTGATGGGTTTTCTTAGAAATTAAATGAACCTGCAATGAATGTATGAATTTATACAAATTAACTTTGAAGAGTTTTTTTAAAATGAATTAATCTCAACCTGCCCTGCTCTGCACATCAAGACTTTCCCAGAAATACAGAAATGCAGCGCCTGCTGATCAAATTCATGTATTTATTTGTGGAAGACTGTCTGCAAAGGGAAAATAATGATGCACATCTTTCAAGGAATTGTTCAACATTTTTGGAAATTTGCCTATTCGCTGTCTTGCCAGGAGTTAGATAGCTGCCACTCTCATATCATTATCTTTGCATAGAGACTGAAAAATAAAAAATAAAATACAACTTATATTTTTAAAGAGGGGTAAAGTCCTCTTACTTAGTAGGGATCATAGGAGCTTTAAAGGTTAGACAGAGTCCCTGCTTAGCTAGCTGTCTTTATGCTAAGCTAACTGCCTGCTGGCTTCAGCTTCACGTTTAAATATGAGAGTGGTGTGCATCGGCTACAAAGCAAATAAACACATATCAAAATGTTAAACTACTTCTTTAAACTTGATTTTAATTCTATGTTTAGCAGTGTACACTATATGAAATACAGTGTGATAGAGATGATGGAATCCAGTATACTGATGATAACTAAAAATGTTTAGACTGAGCTGAGAAGCAGTAAGCAACAGAAGTGAGTGATATCACCGAAATGTCAAATGATTTGAAACTGTGTCACCTTACAGTAATCCGATTACTTTTAAATTGAAAGTAGGGTATTTGCTTTGATGTGAAATTAAACACAGATTTGCTATATTAAAAATACAGGCATCACATAAGGAACTCAGTGTAACAAAAGTCAGTCCACGTCTCATTGCTGAGATTCAGATATTTTATCTTTTCAGTATTTTGTGTGTCCATCTTTATTTTTGATGACAGACTTAATCCTTCTCTGTATTGAGGATACCACATTTTCTGGGGATATGTTCTGTCATTTCAGATTTTTTTCAGCTGCTCTTTGCTTGGACTAGGTGTCAGGACTGTCAGGACTATGCATTTACTGTGGTAGCCCCGGTAGGTACATGACAAACATGCTGGACTCCATTTGAGCCAAACAAATTTAATGTGATCTCATCTGACCAACAAATGCTTTTCCAATATTCATTTTTTTTCAGGATTTTTAGAAAAGTTTAATTTTGCAGTGGAAGGTCCTTTTCTTGGACATTCTCTATACAGGTGGACCTTCACACTGTCTGAACTTCACAGAACCTCATTTCCATTGATAACCTCTGGTGCCAACTCTGGAGCAGCTACTCGTCTTTTTTTTCAAGGCGGGATGTTAAAGTAGTGCTCTGTTCATGGTGTAGTCTGGATGAAAGACCACTGCAGCTCGGATTTAGTGGTACTCTGGCTCATGCTTTACCTCCTGATTACTGCTGCAACTTTTTTTTTTTTAGTCCCTGATATTCCTTTATTCTTTTCAGTCTTTGTAAAGTCTCACAATCAGATCTTTCAGTTTTTCTTGCCATTGTTTTCCATGTGGAGCCATGATGCAGACATGCAGGTAATCACAGTCCACAGGTCTAAAACGGAGAAAGTTCCACTGTCCACAGCTCATTTTTAACTTGAGTATCTTTGTGTGATCGTCTAATTTAAGGTTTGTATTTTCAGTGTATTCTTTCTAAAGAATCTGCTTTTGATTGTTCATTTGACAAAACACTACTGTTTATCTTAGAAGTAACAAATACTTTGAGGAGAATTTTGAATCATTTGACATTTAAGTGATGTTTTGCTGGGATGTACTCACAGCTGTTGTGTACTTTAGCTGAATGATGTTAAACTGAAAGCAAATAGCACGAGTCTTTTCAGGAAAGTAAAAGTGAAAATGAAAAATGAAAATATGCTTGTCTGCTTTTTGTGTACAATCTCAGTGAGGAGTAAGCAAACACATTTCTGCACTTTTATGAGTTCTGCCGTCACTTTGAAAGCACATGGCTGTTTTCAGAGATTCATACGCACCAACATCGAACATTTCTCTCCATTTCTCGATAAATTCTGCTTCCACTCTGCTTTCAAGTGTCTATTTATTGTCTCCCTCTGTGGTTCACCCAGAGTCCTCTCACATCACTGTAAAAATCCACTTGTGCCAAATACAACAGAATACTTGAAATAATGGTTTTCAAAAAGGATAAAAACATGTCAGTGATAGTAGCGGCTTCTAGAAAGGCATAAAGACATTCCTCAGCTCCTCGCATTTGAAGGATGTATTTATTTTCATACAGTGTTACATGTTTTATTGTTGTCAACAAATAAAAACTATTGAACTGTGCTGTTGGAAGTATTTCTTTCCAGCTCAAGATTCGAGAAAAACATCAACAGTCTTGCATGTATGAAGTACCTTGTCTGAAAACACATTATTAAGCAGAGGTCCATCATTGTAAGTCAGCACTATGTATGCATCTCTTTTCATTTGAAACAGACAGAAAATGAATTCACAAAAGTAGTTTTAGTTCTAAAATCTCTGTAGTCACAAAAATCTAGACAAGAACAGACAGTTTTGTGCTGGGATTTGTCTCTCAAGCAGGTTTGTAAATGCACAATAATTTTGAACTTTTACAAATACATTGTGATGAAGGGTGACATTCTGGTTTGCACAACTTGGACACAAAAATGGAACAAATTCATCAAAACACACTAAATGTGTCATTAAATAATGATTAAGTGCAATAAATGAACAGACAGAGACGATTTTAGTGTAGAAAAAACACAATTAATAGATGATGATTTGTTGAGCCAACCGAAAACTATCACTGTATTAATATATTTCAATGTTTAATTAGTTTGTAATACAATTTTCATTTTTGCTTTTTGTACAAATGTTGTTGTATGTCTTATAACCTGTACAGCGCTCAAGGTCAGCTCAGGGGATTTTCAAAGGTGTTTTTAAATAAACACAATTTTAATTATAGCCAAAGTCCACTGCATGTGCAGCTTCATGTGATCTACCATTTCATCCATCATGTGACATTCACTGACAAATTGTGCCACACAGCAGAACTTTATGGATAAACTGATCAGAAAATGTGCAGACTTCAGTGGGGATTCATCTGCCCTAATTCTTGTACTTGTCACCACCAATGAAACTTTTACATTATAGAGTCTTTTTCCAGCAGAGTCTTTCAAAATAAGAATTCTGAGCTCAAACAACCACTGAATCCATTGTGGAATTAGATCAGTGTATATTAATTTAGATTTTGAATTGTAAATATAGACATTTTCATTGTAAATTGATCCTAAAAAGTAACAAATTGGTGCATAAAGTTTCACCAGAATGCAGGTAATTCAGTAAACTGACTCTTCCCTCAGAAGCTCCTGAGTTTCACTGAGCTTCCACTGAACTCTGCCACACCATCTGTACGTCTTCCCTGTCTTTAATCTTGCCAAATGTGGGCTTAGACCTTTCCAGCCATTAACCGGATGTCTTTTTGCCTGCCAGCTGCTGTCCTCTGACTTCCTTTATTAGTTTAAGGTGAACCGTTTGAACTGTTGTGAATCCTTGCGTCAGCCTGCAGAACTCCTTTTAGCACTAACATGCTTTGTGAGTTTTACTCCTACACCATGAAGTCAGGCTGACTGAGTTGAAGAAGACATCTTAACTCTAAAGAAGTTTGATTTGTGATTTTACGTTTTTTTTAAAAAGATGGCTTTCGTTTAATATTCATTGTGTGGCAGATTTGAAACCATTATCATGTGAGATACCATCAAAACTGCCACACAAGAAGGATGACGTGTTTGTAAAACCACTGATGCTACAGTCTAAACCCTGGATTTGACACATCTGTCCTAAACTGCAGTAACAGTTTAATCAGTAATTTGATTAGCTGATAAATTCGGTTGAGTAAATTTAAACAAAAAAACAACAACAAAACAACTAAATCTAAATTCTCCGATGCAGTTTCTAAATGTAAATCTACTTTCTTTCCTCTTCTATGATGATAAATTGAACGTCTATGGAAAGAAAATACTTTTTTACAAAAAACACATGACTGAGCATTACAGCACAACACATCATCAAAAATGTCAAACAGGAAGGGAAGGAATGAATTTGTAAAACAGTTAAACTCGGGGTCAGATCAGACACACACATACATCCAAAATAACAGCCTTTGTGATTTGCTAGTTGATTTGTTCCCATTTCGCTTTTTGAAATCAATTCACTGTCCAGCCCTAACAGAAAGCCCACATTTAGAATTTGTATTCTTATTTTCAGCAGCTCCTGTTTGTTAAACCTTGAAGCCAGAGTAATTTTTATTCCATCAACTAGCAAATAAATTAAGAAGAAAACGAAAAATACCCTTTTAGACAAACAGATGATTGAGCAGGTTTTACTTTCCTGTTACTTAAACCGTCTAGATTTCCATTCTGGTTCAAACATCCTCACAGCTGACTCCTGACACCTGTGATGTTTTTTCTGATGAACTCATACAGATCCACATGTGAACCAGCAGGTTTGTGCAGAACATCACAGTAGTCCTCCAGAAGTGCATACAGTTTCCCTGCAAGGAAGCATTATTAAGAATTAGCATCACATTAAAGAAAAAGTTGAAGGTAACGCTCTGTTATTTTACAGCTAACTTCCTAAACATTAGCTGATATTTAGCTGTGAATTATTTCCAACAAAGGTCCTCCACAGTCACAGTTTGCTGCTAATTATAAGGGAACTGGAAAAATTATGTTGTAAGCTAACATCAATATTTTTCAGAGTTTAGCTGAAACACGTGAGTGGAAGTCAGGTAATAATGTGCCTCACTGCTGTGTAAAGTTGTGTCGATCATCATCATCCATCAGCTTGAAACACAAAACTACTACAATTCTACAGCAGCGAAAAACTACAGGTGTGAGTAAAAGTCAGACAATATGCAACAAAAATATAAGCAAAATGAAACTTACTTATTACCAGGAGGATTCATAATCAAGACCACTGGTGTCAGTTTATCAGTTATTTTTTTTATCTACCTGATACAGTTCCTCTCTAGTCATTGATTTACTCCTAAAAACTTCTCTCTGTGTATCAACACTGCATATTTACTAAGTCATTTACTTTTGATTTAGGTATTTTTCTTGTCAAATTAAATAACCTGCAGTTTGAAGGTCAGCAAAGTATTAAACACTACATTTCAGACAGTGTCCCACCAAGACGTCACAACACACTTTGTGAGCACCTTCGAAACATTAAAGAACACCTTGCATGTAGAAATGCAGTGTTACTCTGAATGCATCGCAGAGCTATTCAAGCACATACACTGGGTTGACTTCAACAACTGTAATGTGCTTGAGGTGTGGGTTTTCTTGGAAAATGGTGGCAGATTGGGGGTCAGTTTTGGCAGATACTAAATAATGAGTGACTTGGATCAAATTGGTGGCAAAAAACTTAGTAAATATGCTACACATGCAGATGAGTTTTTAGGGGTTTATTCAACAACCAGGGAGGAAGCTGAATAAATGCTGCTGTGAGTTTGGAATCTCTCACCAACTGTAACCCTCTCTGTGACCAGCAGGTGGTACATCTGCTGCAGGCTTCGCTCCAGCTGTTCATTCCTGAAGGTGAAGAAGGCCAAACCTCTGCTGGACTTTGCTGCTGCCATCAGCTGGATCACAGCTGGACATGAGCAGACAACAACAGCAGTTAGGTGAGTGTATTCATGTTCCCCTCATTACTTGTACCAACAGACAAAGAAACTCGAAATGAAAAGGGTTTTGGACTCATAAGTCAGTGATCCATCATTAATGTTAACCTTTAAGTTGTGGGTCTCCGTTGAAAGCTCCACAGCCCCAGTTGCCTGTAGCGATGTCGGGCTCTTTATGTCCTTTTTCCCCCATAAATCCACAGTATGCCTTTAGGAACGCAATAAAATCATATAAAAATGAACATATAATGTAAACAGGAAAACCTAATTTTTTAAGGAATCTATAAAAACTGTGATGAGATTTGGTGAAAACTGTTAATAAAACTAGCAAAAAGTTTCAGAGCTCTGCAGTATGCAAGTATGACAAAAACGGATTAAATTCTTCACAGTAGACTCAGTTTGACCAAGAATGTTGCAGCATTTGACATGAACTACATAAATATTAGCACTGTTATCTAAGGTCATTCGGGGTCCATTGGACCCCAAGAAATGTATAAAATATTTGTTGGTTTTCATTATAGACCTTTATACTATGTTAAATAAACTTTCTGATAAGCTGACATATTTTTTTGGTCCAAATGCATGACCAATGTCCCTCTTTTTATATTTAAAAAAATCTCCAAAAATAAAAAAAACAATACCAGTCACCTAAACCAAATAGCCTGGGGTTCAAAAGACCCCAAAAGTCCTGAATAGGGTTAACAGTATTCATGTTTCCCACTTTGTTCTACACTGTAGAAAACAGTAAAAAAAAAATAAAGAGAAACTTTGGTGTTTTGCACAAACGTCACCTTGTTCAATTCCCGGGTGATCTTCCTCATATTGTACTGCTCCCTGCTGTTTTTGAAGTGCAGAGCGTCGATGGCGAGAATCTGCCTCTTTAGCCGAGCCCACTCATCTCTGCAAAGATCACATCAAATCAATTTCCAAATCCCAATGATAAATGTTTTAAATGCATATGAAGCAGCTGCTCGGACCTTTCAAGGCCGTCTTCATGAGGCCCCGCCCACTCAAAGCTGTCGCCAAAACCAGAGTAGCAGCTAAACTGCTGGGAGCCTGAGAGAAAAACACAATAAAACCCATTAAAACACCCAAAATATACAGTATCATCTTCTACAAAGTTCTGTAATTTTGCAGTTTTCAGCAAACAAACAAGTTGGAGATTATTTTATTTTTATGTCTTTTTGTGCATTTTCAGTCATACAGAGCTGTTTTTGGGAAATGCAACCTTTGACCTCTGTAGCAGTCACCAATGCATGTATTGACCTCAAAATCTAATCATTCTGAGAAGGGATACATACCGAGAACATGTATGAAGTTTCAGGTTCAAACTCTTCTCCTGTAAAGGGCTAGACTGTTAACAAACAAAAAAAAACATGCACACACACAAAACACACGGGCATGATTACTCTATAGTGGTCTATCGACGATGGGCAACTATAAAAAAATACATCAAATTCTGACTCAGGAGAAGATGGAATCAGCTCATGTTTGATAGTTTTTTTAGTCAATTACGCGATTCCTCTATTAAGATTTCTAACCCACTGAAGAACTGATGACACAATTGTACCTGTGATGATCACACACTCGTCGTCCGCCAGCTTCTCAGTGAAAAGACGCGACACGATCAGCTCCGGGTTGATGAGGAACAGGATCTCTTCCTGCAGCAGACCAGAACCGAGGACTCCTCCGCCGATCCGACTGGAGGCAAAGTCCACCTGAAACACACGGATCATCAGCACTGCTCTGACTGAGCTGAGCATCGCCTGCTGTTGGGTTCTTACCTGAAGCAGACCTGTACCTTCAGTCTCAATGCTGCCGTCTGACGTCACGTACAGCTTCTGCAGCTTCTCCGAAGAGCTGCCGCAGAAACAAAAAGACTCAGAAAAAGCGAAGAGCAGCTCAGCAACACTGAAATATCTCAACAGCTATTGGAAGGATTGCTGTGACATTTTGCAAAGACATTCATGTTCCCCAGAGGATGAATCCAAAGTTTATTTACCGTAATTTCCGGAATATAAGCCCCTACTTTTTTCACACGCATTGAACACTGTTTTAAACAGTGCTTTAAACAATGATGCGACTAATTGATGGATTTTTACGGGCTGGATCCTGACAGCATAGCACAGTGTCAAAAAATCTACTATCACCAAAGGGTTTCGAAAGACTGGACTGCTGCCTGATAAAGAGGACAGCACAGGCTCAAGGGCAAATTTGCCTCAAGACGAAAGTGACATTGAGAGCGACCACAAAAGAGAGGCTGAGGAAGTATGTGACAAAAACCCTTTTCCACCAAAAAGAACCAGGTGCTATTTCCATGCTGGTGCTAGGGCCAGTGCTTAGTTGGTTCAAATCTGGCACCTCCTAAGAACCGGTTGCTTTTGCATTGGCAAGGAGCCAAGTTAGAGAAGTAATTCTGAGGGTGTGTCAATTCCGACACTTTAGTGGTTTTCGTGCACAGGAAGAAGATGTAGATAGCGATCAATGACATTTCCTGGTAGGATACGATATTTTTATTTGTTTAACCAGCCGTGTTACACTGTTTGGAAAAAGCATTTACGGCACGTATTTAACTAAAAGTTAAAAAGATCTTTCTGTGTAAATATCTCACGTACCTGCGGCTTATAGACAAGTGCAGCCTACAGATGTACAAATTTTGTTTTCTTTTTAAAGTTAGTGGGTGCGGCTTATATTCAGGTGCACTCAACAGTCCGAAAATTAAAGTACTTGTGCAGCACCTTTCACACAGATACGAGCAATTTATTAAATGTTATTTTATCTTTCTAGAACTTACTGCTTTTTGGTTTTTTGAAGACAACATGACTGTGATGTCTACATGAGAAGTTACTCAGTATTTATTAGAGGTCTGTAAAAGAAAACAGAAGTTCTTACCTCCTCCAGCTGGGCGCATCTGAGTCTCTGAGGCAGCGTCTCTCAAACGTCACCAGTCCTTCTAGGTTAGTGTCTGCAAAGGCATTGAGAAACAATCACAGGCTTTCACTGAAATGTCTCACAAACCGCCAGGAGATGAGGTTTGAACTCACTCTCATTAGTCACCACGTTGAAGTAATGCATGATGGCCCTCAGCTTCTCTTTCTTCCGCTCTGACCAGTTTCCAAACAGACTGCGGGACGAGAATCAGCAGTTAGAACTCACACCAGATCCACAGACTGGCCTACTAAAGGTGCTTCCAGACCTGCTGAAGTTGATGCTGGGGTAGTTGTGGTACTCAGCATCCGGTCTGGAGGTGTTGCGGTGAGGGAAGGTGCAGAAAAAAGCGTTGGCGAGCAGGCAGGATATCTGAACCTGTGACAGAGTGATGGATGCAGGGCGTCCTCTCTGCAGCAGCGGGATAGCCTGAGAGCATCCAAACACCTCATCACCATCTCCAGGCAAAATATCTCTTTTCAGGATGATTGAATCTGGTTCTTTTCCTCATCAAAGACAGATGATCTTATCTATCAAATGCACTTGGCTGCTATAGCTGGTTCAAGGTAGTTGGTGATGATGTGAGGTGTTCAGTCTATTTTATAGGGCTTAACAGCTTCTGCTGGATAATATTATGTATGAAGTTATTCAGATTTTCTTGGCTTACATTCATTAGATATCTTTAATATATACTGGGTGTTACCTTCTTTATTTGGTCAGGCAGCTTCAAAGCCAAGGCAGCAATCTTTGGAAACAGTGTGTGAAAGTAGTTTTCTGTTTTTGGAACATGCTGGAAAGAAAGTACAATCACTTGTTACCACATGGACACACAAAACTAAGTGATTAGACGTCGACTGATTCTGACCTCGACAAATGTGTGGAGGGCGTCAAACGACCACCGATCTTTGTACTTGGGGTTAAATTTGATGATGGCTGCCTGGTGAGAAGAGACAGTGTGGCAGAGGAGAGTCAAACATTTTGTGTTTATCAAAGACAGATTATTAAATATGAGTGTAAAAATGTGCAAACGCTGCCAACGTACCACAACATGATCAACCTTCACTGATTTTTTGCTGGCCAGAGCGCTCAGTTGCTTGGAGATCAGCTTCCACCTGGCTGCTTGGGAGGGTCCACTGTGATTCATTGCCTGCAACATGGTCCATTTTCACTATTGTAAATGTTTTAAACAGCCAAGAGTCCAAATCTCTGACAACTCATCAGTCATATTTTAATGTAAACCTGGAAATAATTTGAAAATATTCTGGTTTCAGCTTCTAAACTTGTGAAGATTTCCCTCCTTTGTTTATGAGAAATAACAAAGTGAAGAAAATTGGCTGATTAATTGATGATAATAAATAGCAAAGTAAAGAAGAAATATTTCAATCAGTCAATCAGAGTGACAGTGACCATGTTAGCTTCTTTGTACAAAGCTCATGTTTCTTCCTGAAGCAGGTTCATTCCAGTTTTCCATCTCTTTGTGGTGGTTTTACATTTTTTAAGACTTTAAGGTATCATGTTGTTGTGTTTTTTGTCTCTTTGTGTTGGTTTTTCCTCTCTTTGTGGTGTATTTAGTGTATTTGTGGTCATTTTATGTCCGTAGACTTTTTCCTGGTAACATAGTCACTGTTTGAGTTGCTGTTTTAATCTTAAAGTAATACTTGCTTGTGAACAGGGCATCTTCACAAAGTTACTGTTCCACAGGTCTCTGCCCTCCTGAGCAATGAGTCCTGCTCCACAGTTGAAAACAGACACCTGGAAGAGAATTGAGACAGCCATATTCAAGAAGTACTTCACTTGGACTACTGATACATTTAGTACAAATGATGATTGTTGGCAGGAGTCAACCGTTTCAAACTACATTTTTGAATAGGCTTAAGATCTCTATAGACAGTGCCTACAAAAGCATTCACCCCCCTTGAAAGCTGTCTTTTTTTAATTGAATTGTTGTGAATACTTGGAAGCCAGGATTTACCACCATGCGTCACATCATGATGCTGCCACCACCATGCTTCACAGTGTGTTTGTAATGAGTGTTTAGTACCACCAAACATAGCATCTGGTGTGATTGTTAAAGAGCTCCATTTTGGTCCCACCAGACCAAATAATAATAAAAACCCCACATGCCTTCTAGTGACCTTTAGCCGAGATGTAATACAAACTTTTTTCAACAGTGGTTTTCTCTTTGTCGCTCTCTTATGAAGCTTTGATTGGTAAAGCGACAGGCAACAGTTCTTTAATGCACAGTCTCTCTCATCTCAGCCAGTGAGGCTTGTAACTCTTTCAGAGGAGTCATAGGTGTCTTGGTGGCCTCCATCAATAGTCTCTTTCTGGTATTTCTTTTGTAAATCCCTGTCTAAAAAGTCAAATTATGTTAACCACAACTTAATGTTGAAAAACAACAAAAGGGTAAGCTTACAAAAGGGAGGTGAATACTGTTTTTAGGCACTATACTATGCAGCATGTACCAACCCACAGTTTTGGTATGAGACGCCAGCTTTCCAGTTTCTGTCTGCACAAACAGTAAGAACAACAAAGGAGAAACTCTTACATCTATGAGGACAGTGTGTGTCGTAGAGAAACGCAGCTTTCCCAGGTTGCCATGGAAATGTGGAAGCCGCTTCAGATCGTCCAGCTGACAGCAGGAAGATGTGACCTCCTCCCTCTGAATCCTCACTGGTCCAGAGGAGGAGGACGAGCTGCTGGTCTGACTTGAATTTTCTTTGCTGCTCAGCTCTTTTTCAAGCTTCACCTTTTCCTCCTTTTCCTTGTCATCATATGAGAGTATCGCTTTCATCTGAGAGCTGTCCTGCTGTTTGGCCATCTTTAGAGGAAATGTCAACATCACATGACAGCTGGCACAAAATAAAACACCAAAAAACAAAAACAAAAAAACAAACAACTGGTGTCATCTGTCTAAGTGACAGCATTCAATCAGACATACCCACACTGTGATGAGAGAACCATGGTACCATAAACAAAAGTCTAAATGTAAACTGGGTCAGTCCGTGTCAATTCAGATAGCCTTGTTGCTCCGTTGCCTCAGATTTTGTTCAGAGATTACTTTTTTGTTATTTGGGACCCAAAACCAAGTTTTTTTTAAGTGGCAGGAACTTTTAGAATTTCATGTTTTCAATTAAAAAACATGTTACCTAAGAATTCATTTTAAATTTTAATATCTGCAGAAATACAACTCCCACAACCACGAAATTTAGCAAGGATGCAGACAAAATTCTGTCCAGCAGATCTAGCAGATTGTTGGCCCTTTAAAATTCAAAAAGTGCAAAATCTTCAAACAAAAGTGGTATTGGGGCCCCAGAGAGTTCCTGTAAGTGTGTAAATATGATCCAGATTTGCTGATAAAATACAGTCTTCGGTTGACATTTCATAAACTTTTGAGGCCTAAATCATTGGTCATTTGATGTGTGGCAAGCATGGCAAGTCAAGGTTAAATTTACAAGGGT